CTAAAGAGAGCATATTTAGCACATAAGTTAGCTAAATTATTACAACCTTTATTCACCCAATTAAAAACAACAAAATTGAAATCTTTTAAGGAAGAAAGCTCATCTTTCCAATTACCTTTAAGATTTTGTAAAAAATTGATAATGTTTTTGTTGTCTCCTTCATTGATTTCACCTTTGTAGCCTTCCATCCAATCCTTCTGAGTGTATTTAAGCATATAAACCGCCAATAGTTCAAGAAATGAAATATCCCAATGAATACAAGTGATACCATAGGCTAGGAGAAGTCTTCCTCTACAATCTCTGATAACACCTCCTACTCCTCTATAAGATTTTGACAATGAAGCATCCACATTAATTTTGATCCAGTCGGGTGGAGGGGGGTACCAATGATTACACTGTCTAATGGGTTGATTGATACCCCAGTGGCCCGATATCTTGCTATCTCCCATAGAGGAAATTGAAGCATAGCTAACAAAATTCAAGGCTATTACGAAAGCATTTACATATTTCCCTCCATGAATAAATAGATTCCTAGCCTGCCAAGAGTGATAAACAGCATTACAATAAATATTTGTAATGAATTTATAATTTTTGGCACCTGATTCCATCCAATTCTAGCATTGTTGAAATGAGCTAAAAACTAAAAAGCTGAAGCCCCATTTGTTAAGATAATTAATCACATGTAATAGCTTCAAACAAATGACCGTGATATGGTCAATATCTTCTTTTACATTGCAACCTCTTGGACACCAGAACTCCTCTTGAATTTTTCTTTGAAATAGGAAAAAAAAGTAGGAATTGCATTATTGAATAAGCGCCACCAGAACACCTCCACCCTAGGTCTCAATTTAAGATGAGATATATAACTAATCATCCTGGACTATCAAGATCATACAGGACGATCAATCACATGTATGAAATTTAGCCATAAATTATATTTTAGGCATGTTTTTAGATTTGTAATTTTTGTCTAATCATCTTGGAGAATCAACATCATCATGGATAATGGTAGACAATCATGCTTAAATTGATTAGGTGATTAAGGAAAGTAATTAGGATTTGATTGATTGATCATATCATCTGGGACTATCACAAGATCATACTTGACGATCACTAAGAAAAACCTTTGTCTTCTTCTTGATCTCCTGGATGTCCCAAACTTTCAACTAGATGATAAAGTTTATTTTTAAACTAATCATATAGGATAATGTATACATCATCTTGGATGATCAATTATATTTCTATATCATCCTAATTTATTTCCTAGACGTCCAAAACTATCTGCTGGATGATTATGTTTGATTTTGAACTAATCATCCAGGATGATGTATACATCGTTCTAGATGATCGGATCAAATCATATGTTTTAATCATACATGATACCTAGATCGTCTAGGTAGAAAGGGCTGAGTTAAACTAATCGTACAGGATGATCTGTCGATCGTCATGGATGATCTTTGATGGCAAGTTGAAAATTAGGGCATTTTTTAATGCCTTCTATTTAAGCTCTCTTATTTTTTAATGATCAAATATTTTGCTATTATCCTGGCCCGAGGGAGCTTAGAGAAGGAGGAGGAGAGCTTGGGAGAAAGAGAGAATCTTGTGACGAAGAGTTTGTGAGGTGTTCACAAAGGTTGCTCCAAGAAAGAATTTAAGTCATCTTCTTTAATCATCAGCCTTAGCTCCTTGGTGGCTGTAGGGAGGCCTTCATAACCACTAGATCAAGGTTCTCTGCCTCATTCAAGAGGAAACAAAAGGTGTTGGGGTTCTCTGCCTACTTCAAGAGGAAGCAAAATGAGTCTAGGTTCTCTGCATCACCAGAGTTGGTGAAAAGAATTTTATAAGGGATTCTCTGCCTTGCTATCGGAGTAAAAGGAGAGACACTATAGTTTTAGTGCAATACTCGATGGGTGGCTTCGAGGAGAGGACATAGGTCAGGTTGACCAAACCACTATAAAATATGATGTGTTCTTTCTTATTACTTTATCGCATTTTAATTTCCTCACTTTATTTTTATATGGTTGATTATATGGTTATGGTCTTTGATTTGTTTTGTTAATCACTTACGCATTAAAGGTTGATCGTGTTTGTTTTAAAATATTCAAAAAGATTTTGCTTTTTATTTAAAATTTTGTAAAACCACCAATTCACCCCACCCGCCCCCTCTCGGTTAGCCTCAAACTAGTTCATAAGGGCTTAATAATCCTAACAAACTTTCAGAATAAGCACCCAAAAAAGGAGGAAGACACAAAAAAGCAGCATCTAGATTCAGCTTCCCTTCTAAAGTGACACCACAAAGGAATACCTGCACTAAGAAAATTCTGCAAACAAAGGTGATGCCCAAGATGGAAATAACAAAAATAAAAAATATAGTCTTGTTGATAATCCCAACAGTTATCCATAAAATATATTATAAGAATGCAAGACAAGGTATTAAAAAGCACTAAACAACTATAAGCTAAGTAGCCAAGATAACCAACAGTAACCCGATAACGGACAATGGCATAAACACAAGAAAAGATAGATGGGTTAAATAACCAGTTATCCTCCAACTTAGGATAGATAGCCAAAGCATCAAGAAAAAAGCTACATCACACTAACCCAAACCACTTCAAAAGCTATCAGGTTCCATTAAACAAAGTAAAACAACAAAGATTCCACAGTAGCCAAGCACGGGAATAGAGAAGATAAGCAAACTATAAAAAGTAATTAGAATAGCAATTGACAATTAAAAAAATAGCCCAAATGGCACTCTAGGTTAAAGCCAACCCAAATAAAGCACAGAATATCCATACTTATGAACAAGATATAGCTCAAAAGAACCAGATTATACATGAAGAAGGCAAATCATAACATCATGAAATAAACAAGACCCACAAACACACAAAGGACAAAGCTACAAAAATTAAAGCCACATAACCCGGCAAAAGCAATAACAGTGTGGCTCCAAAAAAACCAACCAACAAAACCCCAAAAACACCCAGAAAAAGCATACATAAATAGAGAATTCTAGGAATCATCGAGCAGTACATAGGAGAATTGCTGGCACCCAAATAGAATCAGAGCAACAAAAAGAAATAACATAAAGTGGATAACCTTTAGCACACCAAATAAGAGGCAACCCCCAAACAAAAAAATTAAGAACCTCAAGCTCTAACCACCAAACCACATTAAAGTCTAACATAGGGAAGATTAATTTTATGTAATCTTAAAAACCCTTTTAAGGGGGTAGGTAAGTTGGGAGCAGAAAGATCAATAAACAGTCCAAATCATAATCCAAATTGGTAAGCAACTCGACACAAGCATTCCCCTCCCTATACACATGAGAGAGGGAGTAGTTAACAAATACTTAATATCCCTCATAAGATAAAAAAAGAGTAGGATTGGACACAGTATCATCAATGTTATTTAAACAGTGAATACTATAAGTAGAATCAACATCAATCCCAATGTTAGAAATGTCAATAGAAATGCATAATCTAATCCCATGAAGAATAGCCTATAACTCAGCAAAGTTTACAATAGAATTATGTAAGAGATCCGTAAAAGTCATAATAATACTCCCATGATTGTCCCTAATAATCCCACCACACCCCGAGATGGAACCTTTGACATCACCATCAACATTAAGTTTATAAGAGTTATTAGGAGGTTTGATTCAGTAAGCAAACCTAAGATTAATAGAAGGATGATCATCCTCTAACTTAAGACCTAAATTAGATGCCACAAAGAAGTAATTCTTAAAATTATTGATAGAGAGAAAATTAATTGAAAAAGCCTCCTCAAAACCTTATCTTTCACATTCTTAATAGTCCTATAATTGTTCATACTAACACCATTAAAAAGGGAATTATTTCTATCCAATCATAAATACCACAAAACGAGAGAATGAATAACATTTCTTATATAGCCTTTAAACTTAATAAACCAAGAGTTAAGCATAGCATTAATAGATAATTTAGCATTAAAGCAATTTATTTTGAAATTATCATTAAAATAAGTCCAAGTTTTAATAGCTAAAGGACCTGAGAGAAAAAAAATGATGCATATAATCCACATGATAACAACATTGACACTTAGACAGCAAAATAAAGCCTCTTTTAATTAAGTTATCATTAGTAAGAATGAACTTATGCAAAATTCTCTAGATGAAAATAGTCATAATAAAAGGAATACTTTTATGTCAAATCATAGAAAAAATATTAGTAATATCATTCTTGGTTTTACAAGCATGCCAAGCATCCTTTAATCTGAATCTCCTATCTTTAGACAAATTGCATAATAATAAGTCATCTGAGTCAGTGTTCAGTGGGAGGTTAGAAATTTATGGAATAATAGAGTCAGGAATACATTAACAAATTTATTATAATCCCAACAATTTTCAGTAATGAAATAATTCACCTTAGCTGCCGTAGTGGAAGAGGTATTAATAATAGAATCAATAGAATGAGCACCTAGCTAACCAATGATCTTGCCAAAAGAAAATATTCCCACCACCAATCCCCCAAGAAATGTGGGGCTCAACAACCCATTTAACCTTGCAAAGTATCTACCATACTTTAGAGTCACCTTTGTTAAAAGAGAAAATAGTTAGGTGTAAGAGTTCATTAGTGATATTAAGCCCGTATGAACTAGCCCAAGCTAACTAAGAAGGTGGGCGAATTAGTATTTTAAAAATCTTTCAATAAAAAATAAAAACTCAAACCAAACCAAAATTCACCACAAAAAAATTTAAAGTGCGAAAATTAAATGCAAAAAAAGCATTAATTTTCCATCTTTTCTTCATAATTTTACCCCATAAGTTCATTTTATTTATTGAATATGCAAACTTTACATCAACCCTGAAAAAAAAAAAAAAAAAAAAAAAAAAAAAAAAAAAAAAACACGATCATTTAGCAAAAGGATCCAGATCCAATAAAAAAAAGTAAGAAGAAAAGAAAAAGATAAAGGCTATAAGTCAATAACATCATCATCATCCTTAGCTATTACTGGTGACACAATCAGTAAACTTTCTTATAGAATAGAGTTCTAAAACTGAACATTGTTCCATTGCCTCCGTTAACCTCCGCCGTGCGAGCACCTCTGGTGAGTCCATCGCTGTCCTCATCCCGGCAGCTCACCTGATTCCCATACCCAATGCAGCTGTTCACGTTCAAATTAAGGGCCTGTACTCCGCCGTCGGCAGCAGGGTGGGCGGGCGTGGAGGTGGTTGGACCGGACTTCGTTCCCTTATCTTTCGGCCCCATCCCGGTTCGTCGAAATTGCCAGACCGGGCTTGACCGGCCAAGATGGACCCCACTTCGGCTAGGGCTAGCAGCCCGCCTTCGACTGCCGGGGGACTCGCCGCGGGAATTGCTCCGGGAGCAGGGGGCGCTGCTAATCTTGCGGGAAGCTGAGCGGGGCCGGGCCCCGGTGTTGCCGGTGGAGCGGCTACGTGAGAAAGGCCAGATGTTGAGGTTGATGTTAAGGTCGGAAGAGCCGTTGCTACGGCTCCTGCGCTCCTTCTTCTTTTCATTCAATTCAGGCTTCTGCTCTCTGACTGCTTTGAATAAATCTTTCCAACGTCTAGAGCTAGATGTGGGCGATGAGGAGACAATGGCACCCGGGATTGAGTTGGCATGTGGGTAGACCGGCAGAGGCGGAGGTAGGTCCGCCGGATGCGGGCGTTGGATGGAGAGGTGGTGGAGGCGCTTTAGTTGCGCTTTTTGACTTGCGCTTTAGTTGCGCTTTGGTTGCGCTTTAGTTGCGCTTTGGTTGCGCTTTGGTTGCGCTTTGGTTGCGCTTTAGTTGCGCTTTAGTTGCGCTAATTTTAAATAATATTTTATTATTATCCGAACCTATCTCTGCGTTCGGTCACCTGACCCAATAATTTGCCCTTGGGAGCACATGGGAAGGCGGCCCACCACCAATAAAGAGATGCAATAAATGAAGGGATGGGGATGCAAAAAAGAGGACACAACGCTTAACACGGAGAGAGAGAGAGATTTATATCTTCTTTCTCGGTAGCTTTTTAGATGGCAGGAAAATAAAGAGGCGCTGTTGTTGTCTTTAAGAATCGAATAGAAGTCCATGGGCTTAGCGAGATTTCTCTCTCTCTCTTTCTCTTTGTGAGCTCTGCTAGGGTTTTGCTTTCACCCTAATTTTCCTTCCGCCTCCCCCAGCTGGGCGTCGTTTCCTCATGGCCGACTCGGAGTTTCCTCCGCTCCCCTCCTCCGCCCCATCCCTTCCTATCAACTCGGTTCTCCCTCTCTGGAAGAATCTTCTCTCCTCCACACCACAAGTCTCCACGACTTTCTCACACTCTCTCACCTTTGTCCCAGCTCAAAACCTCACCGCTCAATTTACCAGTGAAGAGTATGTTGCTAGAGCACCCGAATGGTCACTTTCTCTGGTAGGCTACTCTATCGGGCGGCGGTCATTCTACGAAGCCCTTCCCATGGTGATAAAAAAAACATGGGCTCTCCAAGGTTCACTCTCTCTACTAACCATGGATGATGGTTTCTTCTTACTTAAATTCACTGCCATTGAAGACTATGAGCTAGCTTGGACTGGAGGTCCATGGTTCTTTTTCGGAAAGACGTTCATCCTGCAGAAATGAACGCCGGATTTCGTCCCTAAACGTGAGGAATTTCCTTCCATTCCTTTATGGATTAAGATCATGAATTTGCCGCTCTCTCTCTCTCTGGACCCCGGAAGGTATCTCTAAACTTGCAAGCTGTGTTGGTATTCCTATAGCTGTTGATGCTTTAACGGCTGCTAAAACTAGTCTTACATTCGCACGAATTTGTGTACAAGTCACCAGTAACTCTCCCTTACCTGAGGAAATCTTTTTCTCTATTGATGGTAAATCCACACCCTTAAGAGTGCAATATGACTGGAAACCAGAAAAATGCTCCCAATGCGGTTCGATTATGCATCCTCCTACTCTTTGTCCAAAAAATCCCATTCTAAAGTCCCAAGCTATAACAAACCAGAGAGGCAGAAGCTCAAGCCGTAAACCTCAACCATCTCCTCCTCCCATACTTACAATTCCTAAGCCCAATCCTCCCAAGCCGATCCAGACAAACCCACACATGGACCTTTTACCCAACCCATCTCAATCACAAAACACCACCAATGACACTCTTATCCCGAACTTGAATTCTCCGTCTGATGACTTTCAGGATATCACTGATATCATCCCTCAACCTCAGCAACCCCCCCTCTTGAACAATAACAATAAATTCCATGCCCTGTGTGAGCAGGACTCCTTAGAAGAGGATCTCCCTCCTACCAGCCAACCTCCTAACTATACCACTACCAATACTATAACTACTAATCCTAATCTCAGTAGCCCACCGCAAACCTCACCCCGCAACCATCAACCCAACATTCCCACAAACCTCAATGATTCATCCACTTCTACATCCCTCTCCTCTAAAACCCAGCAGCCGAATAATCAAAGCCAGAAACAAACCAGAGGCAAGCAAGCTAAGAAAGCCTCTACCCCAAATTCCAAATCCCAATGACCCTCCCTAACTTTGCAGCCTAGAATACCCGTGGGTTTAACAGCCTGGACAAAGTTATTTGCTGCAAACAGTTAGCCCGAGCCCTTAATCTTGACCTCCTTATTATTCTGGAAGCAAAAATCACTAATCCAAACTTTTCCAACCTTTGGTTTCAAGACAACCACAAAATCTTCCCTAAGGAAGCCTCATGTGACAACTTTTCTCACTCCAACCCTAGGCGTATTTGGATAAAATGGAATGAGGATGCTATCAATTTTACCACTCAACATATGACTAGTCAATTTATTCATGGCATTATTACTGTTGGCTCTTCTATTATTTGTGCTGTTACTGCCATTTATGCTAGTAATTCTCATGCTGAAAGACAAACTCTGTGGAAAAATATACAAGATATTGTTGGCTCTATCTCTATGTCATGGGTTGTTCTCGGTGACTTTAACTGTTGCCGAACTCTGAATGATAAAGTTGGTGGCACTACTCTCTCTCATGCTAAATTAGGTGATTTTAACAGCATGGTGTTCAATACTGGATTACATAAGCTCTCTTCTGTTGGTCACTTCTTCACCTGACACAACCAACAGCACACAACCCCATCCACATCAAGTTAGACAGGGTTTTAATCAATGACTGTTGGCTCACCAATTTCCCTAACTCTTTCTATAAGGTTGGGGACCCTGAATGCTCAGATCACTCTCCTTTAATCATGATAGATTCCACTCATATCAAAAGGGGCCACCGTTTCCAGTTAAAAATTTTTTGCACTATATTCCCGAAGTTCTGGAATTGCATTATGGATGATGTCTTCTCTCTTCCCAATAGTAGTAGTCCCTTGAGCTCCTTCAATTACAAGCTTAAGACTCTCAAGAATTCCCTTAAGCAAAAGAATTGGTCCAATGCCAATTCCATTCAATTGGAAATTGACTCACTCATGGCTCAACAACATTCTGTGATCACTCAATCCAACACAATCCTTTGGACAATCAACTCAACAGCAATCTTAAGACCATCAACTCTAAGCTTGCTTTCAACCAAGCCTCTCTCACTAGTTGGATTACTCAAAGAGCCAAAGTGAATTGGCTAACACATGGCGAAGATGACTTAAAGTTCTTATATGCCAAAATAAACATTTCAAAAAACCACAACCGTATCAAGGAAATCCCCAATGAGCATGGGACTTATTCTACTCACCAAGACATTGCCAATGTCTTTATCAACCATTTCAGCAAACTTTTTAACACTATTACTCCTACAAGCTTGAACCGACATTCCACTGATATCCCGGCTGGCAATACTATTCCTCCTCATCTTATATCCTCTCTTATTGCACCGGTGACTATTGGTGAAATTAAGGGTATCATATTTTCTGGCAAATCCATGCTCCCGGCCCTGACGGTTTTACTATGTATTTTTATAAATCCACTTGGAATGTCATACAACACCAAATGTGCAAAGCTGTAACCTCCTTCTTTTCCACTGGATACATGCCTAGGCAAGTAAAAGCTACTGCTATAGCTCTTATACCAAAACACCCTCATGCCAATAACGTGAAGGATTTTAGACCTATTGCTTTATGCAATGTTATTTATAAGATTATTGCCAAAATAATTTCCAATAGAATGAAGGAGGTTTTTCCCTACATTATTCACCCTAGCCAAGGAGGTTTCATTCATAAAAGAATCATCTCTGATAACATTCTCTTAGCTACTGAGCTACTTGGAAACTTTAACCTCAAAGCCAAGAATAAGTATTTATGTGCTAAATTTGATATCACCAAAGCCTTTGACACTGTTTCCTGAGAATTTCTTTATAAAAGGCTTGAGGCTAAAGGGTTCCCCGATCTGTTTATCACTTAGATCAAGGTTTGCACTACGGATGTGTATTTTTTCATTTGCATTAATGGGGCGCTTGAGGGGTTTTTTTAACTCCAAGTCTGGTATTAGACAGGGCTGTCCTCTTTCTCCTTACTTGTTCAACATTGTTATGGATGGCTTAACTTGTAGCTTTGACTTGGCTTCAAACAACAACACTTTTAAAGGTATTTCTACTGGCAATTGTGATGTCACTCATCTCATGTTTGCTGATGATCTACTTGTTTTTGGTACTGTCGACACTACCAATGCTAGCATTCTTAATTCAATTCTTTTGGATTTTGCTTCCAAATCTGGCTTGCATGTTAATCCTCAAAAAAGTACCAGTCTTCTCTCCAAAAATGCCTCGTCGGGTCCTGATATCTGTAACATGCTTAATATTCACCAATATCTGAATCCCATAAAATATTTGGGTTTACCTATCTTCTACAAGAAACTGAAAATGGCAGATTTTCATCCCCTTATGCATAAAATCACAAACCTGTTAGAGGGGTGGAAAGCAAAACTCTTGTATTTTGCGGGAAGAATCCAATTCATCAAATACACCATTTGTAACACCCTTGCTTACTGGATTTGTGGTTCGATTATACCTAAAGGATGTTGCAAATAGATTAATAGATTGTGCTCCAGATTCACTTATTTTGGCAATATTTCACAAAAAAAGTTGTTCACTGTGTCTTGAAAAGACACTTACCGTCCTAAACATTATGGGGGTTTGGGTATACCCTCTATTGACTCCCTCTATCACAGCTATGGGTGCTCTATCATTTGGAGGTTCTTAAATACAAACAATTTACTTTTAGCTCGTGGAGAGCTAATTATTACTCCCCGTGGAATTTCACTGCTACTAAACATTCCCATTACTGGGAATACTTGTGCAAAATTGCAAGCATTATTAGAATCTGCCTCTCTTTTTCTGTTTACCCGAGCAGTAACCTTTCTGTTTTATGGGATCCCTGGTGTGGAGGTTATTCTATTGCTGAACACCTGAAGCTTGTTAATTATTTATCTAGTTACACCCATTACTTTGGCAGCAATATTTTGAGTATTATCCTGGGAGACAAGTGGAATCTCCCACCCTGTTTTGACAGCCAAATTACCTCACTTATTAACTTGGTACCCATTGACAGCTATGAGGAGAACAATTGTTGGGCTGGAAAACACTATCCTAAGTTTGCTGATTTTAATGCCCAGTATTTTAACAATTTGAATAATGTAACATGGTACAATTTCAGTTGGCACAAAAAATTGGCTCTTAGATTCTCGGTCTATGCTTGACTTACTTTTAAAGGGAGCTTAAAAACTTCTGATATGCTAGCAGCTAGAGGGATCACTACCCAGAATCAATGTTGTTTCTGCTATGATGAAATGGAATCTATCTCCCATCTTTATTTTGAGTGCAATTTTACATTTAATATTGCAAAAACCCTCCTTCCTTGGCTGAATGGCCTATTGATGAGGCCAAATTCTCACCAACTGTACAATAGTATCATTGACCAACGTTTCTCTGCTCACACCAAAAACTTTTATCTCTTCACTGCTTCTGCCATTATTTACACCTGGAGGGCAAGAAATGACAGGATCTTTGGAGGTATTATTGACTTCCATGCCACTGTTGTTGGGAAAATTAGAAAAGATGTATCTCTCAAAACTCATGGATGGAAAAAAGATTGAATTTTTGAACCAGGATTTGCCCAGACTTTGGTTGTTTCCATTTCTGCCTCTATTCGAGATTTGTCTGTTTGGAGGAGCCTGAACGTGATAAAGTTTGGTTTTGTTTTTCTGGTGCTGTGCTTTGCCTAGAAACTGATTGCTCCTCATTCAACTACCGCTTGCAACATGTCAAATTTTGAGGAACCTGCTATTTTTGTTGATGCTTCAGGTCTCCTGCTATTTTTTGAAAGGACGATGATGAATGCTGATTCTATTTAGCTTCCCCTTGGATGGCCCTAGTGGCAACCAGGGGCTACGCTCTTGTACTGTCCCAACGATATTTTGTCCATATCCGAGCTTAAGAGCGACCTGAGTCCTTTAGGTCCGTGTGCCAACTGTTTTTTATAATTCTTCCTTTATGTTGTATTTTTCTTTTCTTTAGAATCCTTAATCTCTTTATGTTGTTTTGAGATTTGGGATTATAGTTAGATGCTTTTTTCTTACTTGTAATTTCTTTTAAGAAATGATATGGGCTCTGCCCCTAAAATTCCAAAAAAAAAAATAACAGAAGTCTCAAAACCAATGGTAGAGAGACATTTAAAAGGGAGAATAAGAGTTTTTTTTTTGAGATAATTTGGGCTTGGCCCATTTATTAATGATGTAAAAAGAATTACAAGTAAGAAATAACCAAAAAAATCCTCAAAAACAAAAAGAGGCTAGCTCAACCTAGTGACCAAAAAAGAAGTCACAACCAAAACATACAAAAAAAATGATCGAAAGATAAAATAAAAAACTCCAATGCCATAATAGCATGGACTCAGGAAAATAAGCAACGCTTTGGATAAACCACATTCCCCCGGTTGCCCGTAGGCCATCCAAAGGGGATAAGGATTATGGAGCCTCATCATTGTCACAGGCTATACAAAAAACTTCCTCGCAACACCTGCATCTTCATAGCAGCCATCAAATTTAGCAGGCAACACATAGAACCCAAAATTAGGTGGAGCCAGAACACGGATATAACTTATCCAGCAGTTTAGAAGAGTCCTTCCAGCTAATAACTTTTCCATTAATGGCTTTTTTAATACATAAGGATGTAGTCTTGCTGCTACTAAATTTGCTCCCAAATCTCCTGTGATTTATTTCTTTCCAGATATAATAAACACAACAATAGGTAATGAGGGAGAAAAAAAATTTCTCCCAGCCCGACAAACTTTGTTCACCATCAATCCATTCCAATAGGTGAATAATAGAAGGTTTAAGAAAAAAAACTATTGGATCCAGGAATTAAAATTTTAATGATATTAAAGGAAAATGAACATTCAAAGAATAAATGAGCAGCACTTTCGAAATGAGAGTGACATAGGCTGCAAGTTGAAGGAACAAGAATGTTTCTTTTTATGTAATTCATCCACAGTTTTTAATCTCCCAACAATAGCAAGCCAGGTAAAGCACGAGAACCTCATAGCATGTTTAGCACGCCAAACTAACTTATTCCAGGCACAGGCAAAGTGATTGGAATAATATGCAAAAATGTAGTCAGAGTGCTTACTTTTCTTTTTATTCCCCCATAGAAGACAAATAGAGTCCTCCTCAATTCTAATTTTGTGAATTTTATTTTGAACAGATAGAGGGAAGCAGTCAGGTAAAACCCACTCTTTACCCTATATAAATTCTCTAACAAAACAGTTAGAGCTCAGAGCATTACACTGAAACTTCTCAACCAACATTTCCTGCAACCTCTCATTTGAGCACCAATGATCCCATCACATAGAAATAGGGGCATTACTTGTAATTTTAAAAAAGAAATTGTGTTTTACAACCCGAGCAGTGAGGCAGACAGCCTTCTAGAAGTTGGTAGCATAAGATGGGACCGGACACTAAGGAGAGGTGTATCTGCTAGAGAACTAGTCAGATAGAGGAGAATGATTGTTATACATTCCGATAATAAAGAGCAGTTGAAAGCAAACTGAATGGCAAGCAAAGAAGGTAACCCTAGCCCCCTAAATTGCTTAGGTTTTCAAACCTTATCCCACGAGACCAAATGCAATTTCTTGCCAACAGAAGAGTCTCCAAAGAACATAAATTTAGAGCAAATTTTCTTGAAATGTTTGACAACAGTTTTAGGCAAGATGGTACCATGGATCCAGTATGCGATTGAGTTCAGAATAGTGTATTTAAGAAACTGCACAAGACCAACAAAAGATAAAATACTATCTTTCCACCCAGTCAACTTTTTAGAGATACTATCAATTAATGGCAGATAATCAGCAACTTTTAGATGGTAGAAAGACAATGGAATGCAAAGATAAGTGATCTTATTGGAGATATTGTGTATAGATAGCACTTGACATAGATCCTCTCGGTTAAGCACATTCTTGGGAAACATAATAGTGCTTTTATCAAGATTCACATGCAGACCCGTGGCATTAGAAAAAGTGGTAAGAATATTTTTTAGACATTTACAATTCTCCACAATGGCTTCACCAAAGATTAACACATCATCTGCATATAAGAGATGAGATAGCAAAAACCCATCCATACTAATCCCTTTAAATTCACCATTATCAATAAGAGAGTAAAATGAATCCATAACCAAACAAAAGAGATAAGGGCTCAACGGACACCCTTGTCTAAGATCAGAAGAAGATGTGAAAAAACCTTCAATAGCCCATCCAATAAGATAGAGAAGTTCACATTGGTTATGCATGCTTTGACCCAATTCACAAAAGAATTAGAAAACCATTTCTGAATCATCCTAGAAAGCAGAAATTCCTTAGAAAC